GCCATTTCCTGGTTGTTTTTGAGAGGGGGGATGCGCGAAGAGGGTTAGTCAAAAGCCGGGTGGGGGAGCGACAAGTTGCAGGGGAGGGGGGCACCGTATTTTGGGGGTTCGTACATTAGGTCTCGCGGGAAACGTGTGCAAGACTGTGGTATCTTCTCGAGCGAACTGGTATTCTTTCTGTGACTGCATGTACACAGCAGTACTTGTTGAAAAATATACATGAACAAGCGCGCATGTTCTTCTTGCGTATCCTTTCACGACCGACCCCTCGCTTCCTTCCACAACGCACCAAACCTAACCCTAACCCTAAACAGAGCAGCCCCGAGAATAACGCCTTTCGCGAAAAAACGAACACCCCTCCCTCCTCCTTTAGTTGATGCCCATGCCATCAAAATTTGGTTTTATGTATGCATAGCCCTACATATATAGGGCCCACAGCACACTTTTACGTGCGGGTTTCGGGCGGGGGCAGTCGTGCTTGGGTACCAAAGGTTAGGGCTATAGGGTTAGGATGCCCTCGTTTGCAGTGCAAACCGTGGGGGGAAAGTGTTCAAGGGACACGCCGTGTGTGGACGGTGAGTACGGCTAGCCTGCGCGCAAGGAAAAATTGTTGCACGCGCGCGGGCTAGCCGTGCTCGCCGTGCACTCACGGCGTGCCCTTGACCACTTTCCCCCCACGGCTTCCAATGGATACAAGGGCATACCTTTGGCACCCAAGCACGACTGCCCTCCCCCGAAACTCGCACAGCGCGCTGAAGGTTTCAACATGCACCCCGTATACGTTTTGAGGCGGACAAACAAAAACCCAAGGACTACATACCGTGTGAGACCCAAGCGTCCGCTTCACGTTTTGACTCTCTAACCATCCAACCCCCTGGGAGGTGATACTGCTGTGCCTAAGAGTAGAGAAGGGCCAGTCCCACACTGCCGTGCACTTCTCCCTTTCGCCATGCCTTCTGGACGGAAGCTGGAAATGAGTCAAATGGATCCATGCCAACACCGACTCGTCCGGTCTCACGTCGGCAAAATTATTGGGGGCCCCCTGTTGGTGATGAAATCTTACCGTTCTATTGCCCCCCCCCCCCCCCCCCCCCCCCCCCCCCCCCCCCCCCCCCCCC